AACTAAGCAAAAATTCTCTTAGACAGCACAATATTAGCACCCGAGGAAGTAAATATTGCAAGCTCATCCTAATAAAGTTTGTTCTAAGCCTCCATTGAGTGATGTACATGCAAAACAAAGGGGATTTGATGAGGGTCTACGAACAAACAGTATCACTAAAAATGCAATACAGAGGGATTACAAAAATAAACATGAGCATCCGGTGCATTGTAAAGATCATCAACCGAGCAGAAATATATGGACCATCTGCAGGCAAACTCCATGTCCCAAAGAATATGACAGAATTACTTTAACTGTTCAACTGAAGATATTCTACAGTAAAGAAGATAGGAGTATATAACAACTCCTTTAAGAGGTGGATATGAAAAAAATGCGTCCAGCATCGCCCCCCAATGGGAAATGAAAAAAGAAAAACAATAATAATGATAATGATGATAGAAGAATCTGAATATCAACCAATGGGCCCAATATGAGAGAGATGCTTACGACTCTTCCAGATCAATAACTTTGATAGCAACTTCTTTGTTGAGATCCTTATCAAACCTGCAGAAACCGGACAGACATCACAACAATGCACAAGAGTACAATCCATCTCACATCACCACAAAGTGAATGTCAAAGCAGCTTAAAGAGTAAGATTACTTCTGCAGTTCTGAGGCTATCTTTCTTGTCCTACACTATTTTTTTTTGAGATTCCTAAACACAACATTATCCAAGGAAACTGAGGAAATTATTCAGGCAAATACACATGGACTGACAGATGGTTTCTGTAGATCAGAGGAAAGGTCACCCTGCCTTACCCATAAGACATTAGGCACTTGACCACTGAATGACAGAAAATTAAGACAAAGCTACAACAAGCTTCATGACATACATCTCACAATGATAAGTTGAAGACGATTCACACAGAACAGAAACAAATTCCGCATGTGCGGTAATAATGTAAGGGCAAGAAAGGTAACTGAGGTGCAATTTTTGGTTGTAATCATTCTCCAACTGTATCATATCACTAAAAATTTCAATAAAGCACATCACGTGTTCCACTCATAACGCAACTAAAGGAAACATCTTTGAAGAAACTAGTAAAACAGGTCTACTTTGAAGAATTAAATGACCACGGATTGTAAGAAAAACTAAAACGCCATTTGATTTAGAAAAACATTTTCGATTTTCACTATCATAGAAAATGAAAAGAAAGAGTTTCCTAGTTTCAGTTTTCATTCTCTTGGAAACACATTTGGCAAATTAGCATTTTCTTTGAAATGAAAAATTGCAAGATTATGCTTGCATTCTATCAGAAGAACAAAATAGACTTTATATCGGTTCCCTCTCTTCTACTCTTAGAGGAATGAAAATGCCGAAAACACCAAAATAGCTATTTTTCATTCATAGCTTCAATTTTATAAATAGTTTCACTTATTTTTTCAAATGTCTCAAACGGTTGCCAAACGCATTTCCTAGACTATTTTCAATCTCAAAGGGAAATGGAGATAGAAAATTGTGAGAATTCTTGGAAATCTATTGGGTCCTAAACTGTCATCAATATTCTGCTTGCCAAAGGAAATACAGGCCTTTTCTCAAAAGCTAGTACATAGCTGGTGTATATAATAACTGACCAAAAGTTTTTGCTGTCCTCAATTTTTCTTCCTTCCTTCCATCCATCCATTCTCACCTAATTCCTTCTAGACTTAGTAATGTCCATAGATCAAGTAATGCCACATTTTAAGTCTCTGATATAATCTTCCTTTGATATTCATGATATATTCAAAGTTAACGTCTTCTAGTGGATAGAAAACGTTGAAGTCCCAATCCCAAACCAGATACTACAGACTAGTTTATGTTCAAAAGTCAAACAACAGATGAACACCTAGAAGCCTTGGCAAAATGCCTTCTGTTCGCATTAGGATCTACCTAAAAGTTAAAGAAAGTGTTAATAGCATATGATCCTCTTTTCATGATTTCAGATCAACTGATCCTGTATATATGAGGATGTCATGGGATAACCGATCCCTAATATCGTGCAGTAGCTATCAATTACATATACTTACAGATTTCAAGAGATATTTAGTATCACAACATCCTCACCAACCCACTGAAATATTCCAAAATAAAATGATGTCTAATAGTAAGGACTAAACAATAATCGCTCAGAACACATGCCACCCAACCATTAGCAATGTCCCAAGAAATGACTTCTAACGGCAGTATATCTATCCAGTAGTCTCATAATACTGCTATAGCACCATGCACAGGCATTCTCCTGATCAAACAGGGTAAGAAGAACATCTTCGGCATAGAGCAGAACATGCAAAAACACGATCGGAAAAGGCACTTACGCTTTATAGACATCTCCGAACGATCCTCTTCCAATCAACTCGAGCGAACTGAATCTGGCCCCCGCTGCTTCTGTCAGACCCGCTACATCAGCCATTTCCACACTCACTGTCCTGCCACAAAAACAAACCAAGAGGCTGAACAAAACTAAGTCATTGAACTCAACAACGACATCAATGTCCCACATTTCATGCGAGACTACCTCCAAACATTACATATGCTCACAAAAAGCTCAAACAGGGATCTCGATAAAGAATCTCATGACACAAGCGCTTCAACCGCTATCGCCATCAAACCCAGATACATTCTCAAGCAACAACACCGCATATGTACAGATCAACCGTAATCAAAGGATCTGGAGAAACATTAAAAATTTCACTTCAGGCAAGATTCAATTTATATATGTCAGTATGCGGAGAAGCACTTGGAAGCAAAGGATAATAGCTGTCGCACACAAATTTCGCCCGTAGATTACGTTAGGTGAAGTGGAACAGTGCAAAAAAGTGACGGTCCAACCGCAAAGACGAGAGAATTACGAGATTCAGCGCCAAACCAAAAAGTTCAATTGCCAGCGAAAGCGAGAGAGCAACTCGCACGTGCCTTCGAACCGAGGCTTCCTCACTGGCGCCCGAGACCTAACGATTCGACTCGTCCGTTTCGACATTCGCGTCGTGAACAGCGGCGATTTCAGGGAGAGGGGAGGGAAAAAGGAGCCGTACCTATCGGAGGGAGAGGCACGCGCTCGAAGGGGCTCAGGGCACGGGGATCTCGTTCACTGCGCCTCGTCCGCCATTGGAAGTCCTTCGACTGCAGAAGCTTCGGACGGTTCAACGGATCGAGGAAGAAGAAGAAGAGAGAGAGCGAGAGTGCTTGTTGCTATGTTAATGGAGTTTTTGCGTAATTTGCTTTCCTTTCTCTTCCTTAAAAGAAAAATCAATTTTCTCGCAAGGACAGTGGAATTTGTCGTGGTTAGCTTTTCGGATTGATTTAGATACGGTCCCGGTAAAAACATGGAATTTGTCTGAAAAAAAAATAAAAGACACACCGCGTTTAATCTAAAAAAAAAATGCACTTATTGTCTGAAATTCTGAATACTCGGGAGGTTATCGAGTCAGGGAAGATATCAAATGGCAAAAATGACACAAATAGTCTACGAACTTTGATTTAATGTGTAATGTGATTTATGAATTTTTAATTTGTTCAATATGGTTCTTGAATTTTAGCCTAATGTGCAATGTGGTCCCTGAATTTTTAATTTGTTCAATTTAGTCCTTGAACTTTTGGTACATATTTAAGTTAAAATGTTCAATTTTGTCACTGATCTTGAATTAATGGAAATACTATATAAAATATTTTCATATAGTTCAGGGACCACGTTGAACAAGTACCAAAAGTCGAGAGATCATATTGAACAAATTAAAAGTTCAGAGATCACATTTTGAACATTAAGCCAAAGTCGAGAGACCACATTGAATAAATTAAAAATTCACTGATCACATTATATATTAGGCCAAAGTTCATGGACTATTTGTGTTATTTTTCCAAATAAAATAAGGAAAGCAAGCTGGATGCAATTAATTCGATAACCTTTACAGCTTCTGCTTTGATTTAAGCTTAAGCATCTAATTTCCCATTTATGACGTTTTGGGCCCGTAATTAATATTTGTATCTAAATTTTTCATTTTCTGTCCTTTCTTTCTCTTGATATCTCAGCGCCACCTTTGTCTTTTTCCCGATATTAAAGTCTGTGTCTTATACATTAATATCATGTTTATAGAAAATACGTGTCGGCCATTTAAAAGGTATGTTGAAGCATTTAGCTAAGAAGAAGTCTGTTTCCTTTAAATCGTCGGACAAGGACAAACTGGTTATTATTGTCAAGATCCTTGACAATTTTCCATCTATTCTCCCCTTATTTTCGGTGCCTAATTTAAAAAAAAATAAAATAAAATCCCTAAAACTATGTAAATTAGTGGAATCACTGCAGGGTAGACCTGATCATTGGGCGGGCTTGAACCGAAAATTTGGCCCGTCTAGGGTGGGCAAGGCATTTTTACCTAGGCCCAGTCAATATTCGGGCCAGGCCGGGCCTGTCTTTTAACCTTAAGATCTTCGGGACTACTTCCGATTTCGACGGTAGAGAAATGACCATATATAGGAAAAAATTTGAACCGCAATGTAATCTGAACTTTTAATTTGTTTAACGTGAATCCTAGACTTTTAGCATATGTTTAATTTAGTTCATGAACTATATGAAAATGTTCAATATTGTTCCCAAACTTGAATTAATGGAAGGATAATATCTAAGTTGAATATGTGCTACAAATTTGGGAATCACATTAAACAAATTAAAAGGTTAATATTACACAGTGAGTTAAAATTCAAGAACCAGTTAAAAATAATTAAATATTAAAAAAATTAAATTGTGTATTGAGCCAAAATTGAAGAATTATTTGTGTCATTATCCAATTATATAAAAACCTAAGCCTGTCATTAATCATGAGGAGTCCTCTTTCTTTAGGTTTCAACAAATAAGATCAGGAGTGGCATTTTCCATGTTTCATTCATGGCTCAAAATCTCGGTTACATTACAGATCTTGAACCAAGCATTTAAACAGGATGGATCCATTTATGCGGGATTCAACATTAAGAGCTTCTTTATACTCTCACTCCGCTTTATCATATCCTCCTGCGCGCCTCCTCAAATCTTCCACGTTCCTGTCACCCTCCAAGTTCTCATAATTCGGCCCTCTCTTCTCCTCCTCGCCGAGACTGCCGCCGCCCTCAGCGGCCTCCTTAATCTCCTCGGTGGTTTCCCTGGCTGTCTTCCAGGCGCCGTCCATCGTCTTCTTGCCCGTCTCGCCCACCCTATTGGCCATCTCCTTAGCCTTCTTGGCCCCGTCGCTCGCTCTGTCAGCCATATATCCGGTCAGAATGCTGGCCCGGCCCTCATCCGGGTCGAGGGCCTCTTGCTTGGCCTCGTACATCCCGTCCCTTGCCGGGTCAGCCCCCGTTTCTGGGATCCCCGTCCCACGATCTCCCGCGCTCGTCTCGGCCATAGCATTGCTGCCCTGAAAGTCCAAGGACAAACCCATTGTCCCACCGTATCACTTAGAGTACTTAATCGAAACAAAATCCTAGGCCAAAAAGTAGGACGATAGAGAGAGAGATGTATCTATACTTCTGCACGTTCGAAAGCAGTCGAGAGAAAGCAAGCCCTGGTCGGGCCGACAGTGCGTTGGACATAGAAAGATGGGTCTCTGCACGAATTCCTGAAGCTGTTGTTGAGGAGAGCTCTATTTGCCCTGAACATATTAGCCATTTCGCTTCAACTCTGTCTGTCCTCTTTCCCTCTGCCTTCCCATTCGGTTCCTTCCTATATCCTGGATAATTGGATATACAACACCAGCCAGTGGCCACCGCCCACAGGAAGCATAGAGAGTGAAAGGTGGCAAAAGGCTAGTGACTGGACAATGGCAAGAATCGGACACGTAGTGCGTCTCTTGGAACATGCTTGAGCATGCATGGACTTTTAATGCTATGGCGGTGGAATTTCATGCGCTCGACACATGTTTCTATCTTCTCTTGAAACAATTTGTCCCCGTTACTTTTTTGTCTCGTAGCAGAGAATAAGCTGAAAACCAGGGAGACAGGACACTGGTTCGATCCTTTTGGCAGTCTCCTGATCCTAGCTCAGTGCCATATAAAAAAGCCACAGGCATAGGCAAGAAGATGGATCCAATGCCTCGTGCGTTTTGGGAACACTATCAAGACAGAGCTTCGCCTTACACATCACACAATGAGCTCCCTGCAGAGTACTGTTGTATACGTGCATTTGTATAATACAAAAGCACAAAATCAAGTAAAATCACCAATACTAGTTAAAAATTTCTTTTTGGTTCAAGAAAATAGCTGAACATTTCGCTCGTAAATGACAACAAGAGGCCTACCCCTGATCCAAACAGTCAATTTGATCTGAAAACACGAGAAAAAAGGGGTAAAACTGGGTCAGAGGGAGCGAGGATTGTTATCACCAAAGATTTCACATACAGCTAACATCACAAGAGACGGGAATTAATTGTGACTATTTCTTGTCTTCTTCCTTCATCTTCTTCTCCCATTTCCGCTTCTTGTACGCCTGTAACATAGCCGGCATTTTCTCCATCAGTCTCGCGGTGTTTTCCCGTCTCTCGGCTGCTATCCTGTCACACTTGTGCCCTTTCCTCTTGGTTCTCATCTCTTTCCTCTCAGGGTCGTATGGCCAATCTTCGCCTGCAAGTAGGACTTCCTTGCGAAGCCTAGCTCGGCGACGGGCACTGATTCCCAGTGGCTTCCACGCTCCCAACTCCCAGTACCCCCACACACCCTTGGATAGTTCGCTACTATATTTCACCAACTTCTCGCGCCACGGGTATCGGTACTCTGCAATCGTCTTCACCACAGATTGGGCAGCTTTACCAGCCATCCCCCCGAGTCTCAAGCTTCTCTATGGACCATAAAAGAATTGATAATCAAAATTTATTTCGCCTCAAAAGCACCGTGTATTAGCCTTTAATCCACTACAAGGAAATTGAATCAAAGCACCAAACTATGCGGTGATGAAGTCTGTACTTCATAGCTTTTCCAACATAAACTTCAGGGAATAGAAGGAAACAATTGAGAAATTTGAGATGAAGCTGCTTCAACCCTTTCTAGGGTTCTAGAATGATCGGATTAATCTGAACATGCCACAATATGAATTTGCTATTCCAAAGCAGTGTCCTTAATCATTTAAAGATGGCTTGCATTGCAGAAAGTTGTTGCGGAAAGTGAATGTTATCCATCTAGGGCACTTAAATGTTATTCTGTGTACAGCTGATGCCAAATTACCGCTCATGGTGAAACATCTCAGGTAAAGAGCATTAATCTGAGGAAGAACGGCATAATATGTTCTATCTATATGTGAAATCTTAAATTGCTTCAGCCTGTTTATTTTAGATTTCACCCCAATTAAACTCTGGTCATTCTGATAATACAGGATTAAAAATATTGGAGCTACAAGCTGGATATTGTAGGATGATTGCTAACAAAACTAGAATGTGGACGAAGTAAGGGCCCCTTCTGATCTCCAAGGAGTTGTCTACTACTGCTATCAAATCAGCTGCTAAGTAGCCACTCTCATCAGTACATTTTGACATTACTAATCTAGATGAAGGTCCTGATGTCAGGTCCTAGAGGGCGGTTGAGTCCTTTTACTAAGACTTTTACTGGATATTCCAAAGAAAAAGTGGAAACCCTGTCATATATCCATTGAGAGCTTGGCCAATAAAAGAATATGGCAACCAAATATCACGGTTTCATCTCGTGCATCCTATTGATGAATGCTTTGCCAATGCTTCAGTAGAGACTTTTCACTAACTTGAAGAAACTTGAAACACAGTGTCAGCGAAACTTACACTAAAGTTATTATTTGCTTGATAAGTTCTTCCAAGAACAAATCATTGCATTTGTACCTTGTTCACTTCAGAAGACAAAGAATTGTACTGCCTATCCTCAAATTAAAGTAGTGACAACAACATAGCAAAAAGACAAAAAAAGTGACCAGAACAAAATGGCATGCAAAGCTTCACATAACTAAGCTTCTGCATGCCAGGGAAATGAGGTCATAGAAAGCACCGGCTTAAAGCATCAGCACATGTAAATCAGTATTCTGTGGACTCTTCAATGTGATCTCTAACAAAACGTTATAGGTGCTGGTCGCTACGCTAAATGAAGTATACGCACAATTGGCCATCACAATTCTTACTCCGGCACTGCCAATGACCGGCATCGACCAAAGAATGACATATCCTCACTTGTCACGTTAGGACACCATTTTCACGGAGCGCACAACTAACCCCACGCTTATGTTAGCAACAGAAATCTAATATATGTGATATCAACCTCCCAGCCAACGTTTAGACAAAGTGTAAATCTTACTGCCATCTCCAAACCCTCAATTCTAGATAGGTAGAAGTAGAGGTGGCAAATGGGTGGGTCCTAAATGAAATTCCGACGTGATCTAGAACCAAAGTTGTAATTCTTTAGAGCAGTATGTACATAGAGAAACTTTATTACCTCGCAGTTGATCTGTTTACAATCACATTGATAGCCCGTGTAACCAAGTTTCTCTCAGACATTAAACCAAACACCTTCTGTGCAACACACAATATTCCCGCACTTACCATTCACATCATGGAATCCGCGCCCCCACCTCACACATATCACATTTCAAAGTCACCCTTAATCAATAAACCACTACCGGCGCTTACACATCATTGCCCGCGACTCCATCCCAGCTCAGTCCCATACCATCGCAACAATATGAATACGACAACAACCATATTGCACCGGCAAAAGATTGCAGCCAGTCGTCCGCGAGCCATGTTCAAGATAGAAGGAAAAAACTTAAACCCTAATGCCAACTGAACTGACTGTGCCTCGTCTGTAAACAACAAGCAACAGCGCACGCGATTCGCTCGCGTTCCGCACTCGGAACCAGGTACAACGAAGAGCCGTTCGCTTCTCGAACCTAACGAAAACAGCGACGATGGGAACAGAGGGAAACGCAAGCGATCTCTGTGAAGAGAAATTGTACCTGAGCGATGCTCGAAGGGTTTTCACGACCGCTTTCGCTGTGCCTTGTCGATCGACTTGGAGAAGACAACTCGCGCGACTCTGGAGTGAACTTTTCACTCGCCCTGAACTTTCTCCTCTTACCAAGATAGTCCCCGAATATCTGCTTAATTGTAATTATGGCCCAACAGTTGTTTTCTTTCTTTCCCGTGATTTTAATTTATCTTAATGTTACTATCAAAAGTTGTCAATGAAGTACTTTATCCATGAAGTAAATGCTAAATTTTCTCAATTTCATTTATTTTATAAATAAATTATTTTTAATAAGCTAAAAATTATGAAGTCCTACGCGAAATAAGTTAAGATCTTTCGAATACTTTTGTATTAATTTGATGTTTTTTTTTAAATTTAAGTGAAATGTTCTTATACGGTGCATTTTATTCACAGAAAAATAATTCTAGTTTTACTATATGACCTTATTTTTTTTCATTTCCCTTTTTTATTTTGGCAAGATATATCTTTTAAATATTTTTCATTATTATCTTTATTGTGTTCTTCTAGATGCATTTTTTAAGTGAAATATATTCAATTAATGAAATAGATTATACTTAAATTCTGGCAATGAGATAGGTATTTTTAATTTCTTCCATGAATTTTTATGTGGTAAGAAACGTAGGTGAAGTTATCCATATCGAGTGAAATCCATTCATGTAATGAATAGCCTATACTTTCAAAAATAAACGATATACTTATAAGTGAGATATGACATGAGCTTATCTTGCACTTTTGCCTACATATGAATTTTAAAATAAATGGATCTCATTAATTTTACTAGTTTTAAAATAAGCTACACCATTAGGAATACATTTGAATATACCGTTTCTTTATGTAATTTTATAAGCTTTAAACTCATTCAGAGACAACAGTCAATAAAATAGGATTTGTTGAACGAATGTGAGTCATTTGATAGAATTATGCCCTGTGTTTGACAATTACATATGCAAAGTAAATCAACAGCTGAAGAACTCTAATATCCATCATACATCATTTCACAATAGTCTCACGGGCAATCAGTTGGCCCAAACCCTCCTCTTGCTGCATCACTCTGTCTCGCATCCATCGAGAAAATATTGCGTGAGTGGAATACTCCACGTCAGCAATACACAACTCCATTGATCGCGTGACACGTGACAAGCGGGCCCACAGATCAGATTTATTAAAAAATCTCACTCTTTCCCTTCTCTCTCCCGACCTCCGTTAACTCTCCTCCGTTAGTGCTCAAATATTCACTTTTCACCTCCTGGTTTCTCTCCTTTACTCCTCCCGCTCAAAATTCCTCGCGCTCGCGTCTTCCTCTTCCTTCCTCCCCGACTTCCTCTTCCTTCCTCCCCGACTTCGCATCCTTTGGTCGTGAACCCGCCGCGCCTACGCCGGTTGCCTCCGCCGGTTGCCTCCGCCGTCCCCTTCTAGAAAACCCATTTGCTCTCTCTCTCTTTCCTCCGCGAAGCGCGGCTCTTTTTGTGGACCGCGCCTCCGCCTCCGCCGGTTTCCTCCATCGTCGCCTCCCGGAGCCCATCGGTGGCTTAGATCCTGACCACGCGGCCGCCTCCGCCTACGCCGTCGCCGTCTCCTCCGAAGCCCTCCATTGGCGATTCGTCCTCTGCCACTTTCTCTCTATCCCAAGAAATGGCTCCGCTCTGCTCTCTGTGACGAACCGCGCCTCCGCGGTCGCCTCCCGCAGCCCCTTTGGAGATCTCGGGCTTCGACTCGCCCTCTGCGTTACCTCCCGAAGCCCCATTCTCAGGATAGGGTTTTGTATGACTTGAGCTTCCCGTCGTTTTTGCCCTAAAGTGAAGATTGGTGGCTCAGATCTCGACCACGCGACCGCCTCCGCCTACGCCGTCGCCTCCGAAGCCCCCCATTTGGCGATTCGTCCTCTGCCCCTCTCTCTTTGTCCCGAGAAACGGCTTTGCTCGGCTCTCTGTGACGAACCGCGCTACCAACAGGTTCCCTATTATTATGTTTTTTTGGCGTTCGGGCAGATTGTCGGATTGGTCGTGCTTAATTTGTCAAATAATCAGCTTGAGGTTCGTTTGGTGAATGGGTGATAATGCTTGTGCTTGTTATGACTGTGCTAAATGAAAGATGTGGCCTGTGCTCATTCTTACGCTCTCTATTGATTTTGGTCGAAGAACATCAGGCATGTTTCTTGAGTGCAATCTGTGGATAATGCCACAGACAACCATTTTTGTTCTTGTGCGGGAGAAAATAGATGCAAGCATCATAGGTTGTCTCTTCATTGGATTTCATCTGCAAAAATATAAAAGGGATCTTTTTAGTTGCACTGCTTTGAGACTATTGAGCTCTATTCATTAAGTGCATCAATTAGTCTATTTTCTGCAAATTGATTATGTTCACGTCCGTCATTTTTGTTAATTGTAGTCAATTCAAGTGTGGATCTAATTATGTTTAAATAACTGGCTTTTTTATATTTTTTATCTTGAGTTCCCCCTTGCAGTTTGGTTTCGTGATCAATGAGCGGCCGAGGATCAATAAGAACAAGCACAAGGTCATGTAAAATATATCCGTACTTTTTGTAACACTGAAAATCAGGGCCCTCCATGTTGTTTGCGTTTCAAGAATTATTGTCCTCCATCTGTAAACTGTCAAGGAAACTAGATCGGACCCACCATGCCTCTAACAGCTTATGTTCCTTTATCTTGCATCCACGGAAGTTGAAGTAGGCAATGATCCATTTGGATTTCTATTACTTGATGAGGAGGACATCGAGAAAGCCAAAACAGAGATTGCGTACATGGATGCTTTTATCTACTATCTGATATCTGAGTTAAGATGGAGGAACATCATCATGGAAAATCCATACGAGGAAAAAATGGAACTCATGCGCTATTGGCCTTACCTTGCTCAAGGCAATTTAGGAGCTCTTTTAAGTTAAATTCTAGCTGATTCAAATATAAATGGCAATGGTCCTGGAAGATCAACTTAAGTAGATGATGATTTAGCTAGACATTTCAGTAACGCATTTCTTCAACTTTTTCAGATATTTGTTGAGGTAGCTGGTACTTACAGGGTGATTATGCCTTTTGCAATTAACAAGCAAAAATGAGAATCTTCGAGTTTTCACTCAATTTGATAAGACAAGTGTATCCATTGAATCAATGTAAATGTGGATAGGATACACTTGAACTATGCCTTTCATTTTTCTTGTATATGTAAATTTGGGTGTATAGCTTACGTCACAAATTTCCTATATGTAAGTTTGCCCATCTACTTCCTTTGATTTTACTTTCATTGTCCCTGAAATGTTTCATACATGATAATCCAGGATCTCCTGCATGCATTGAAATGTTGCTTGAAGTCTGATGATGCGATTCACTATGCACAATATGTGAGTACTTTTATCGTTTCTTTAATTAGCATTAAGATATCATCGGAAGTTTGTGGACAATAGCACAAACTCCAACATTTAGTACCACTAATATTTGCACTAAAAACTTAATAATTCCTTCGTGTGATATCTCTGTAGCACTAGGTTTTGAGGTGGGAAGAAATGCCTGCTGTTGAACGTGCTCATTTGTCGCGGGAGAAACAGGCAATTTTTTAACTCTTCCTTTTATTGCCAAAGTTCAATATCCTGATCATTTCTCTTGTGAGAAATCCATAATATAGGATGTATTTGCGAGCAATGTACTGCAACTTATTTGGGCTACTATGTTAATTTGTTGGGCTTATCTGCAAACAATAGACAGTCTTGAGTGGAACTTCAACTTCAGCTTCTTGTGATGTTGATTCAACCTGTGCTTGTGTATCAATTCTTTGTCTCTTGTCCTCTCTAGCACTTTTACTCTTAACCTAATATTATAAGATTTCATTAATTTAAAAATCGTTGTTAGTAAAAATGTAAATCTAACAAAATGGAAGTACTTACCGGAAGTTTTTGCCTAGACAATGGTGTTTGTGATGCCGCTAACCCAGCCTTCTTAGTGGGGCATGTTAAACTATTGTGTCCCGTCTTCTTGCAACTTCGACATGTCATTTTCATTCCCATCCTCAACATCCTAATACCACTTGCGACCTCACCTTCCTCTCTTATTCTTTTATGTTTGCGTCTACCAGGCTTCACCCTTGCTAGAAGTGGTTCAGGTGCCTCCTTATTAGTCTTTTTTCCAAAAATTCTCTCCTCGTATGGGTCATCATGTTCTGATATGCAGCTAAGAACTTAGTCTTCTTATAACACTCATCCACATAGTCATATGCATCCTCTTGCCTATGATTTAGAGCAAAAATGGCATGAGGACATGGGAAGATGAATAGTATAGCCATACTAATACTCATACATTTATATGATAAGCAATAAACTTATCTATCACATAAGCTAGGAAGTTCTATCAACCAACATATCAATGAATATAGTGTGACATTGCGATAAGTGATACCTACATCTCAACCCAATATGAAATAGCACTTTATTCTACATCCTCTCTCAATTAGTTATTTGAATAGACATCTCAGTTCATAAAAATAAACATCATGCTTTGAAAGTCAAATGACAGGAAAAAACGTTTAGAATGCGTCATTTGCTTCTTCTTCATTATAAGACGGTAAGGAAATTGTTGCAAATGAGGGGAAACTTACTTCAACTCTAGGATCATGTTTATGAGAACTTGACTGTGCCTGCACAAGAAGGATGGCAATATACAATTTCCAGTCACGCAGATCTTTGCCAGAAGTTTGCGATAATCAATGAAGGTAAAAAAATCAGACAATACCTCTGATTCCACTTTTTCAGTCTCAGAAGTATCATCATGTGACTATGAGTCCGACTGCAAGCACAACTTGCAAAGATGAAGAAAATAATAAAAAATAACCTTAACAACCCAATTACCAACAGAAAATCCCTAAGATAATTTCTACACTGAACTATTTCACCTGTAAATGATGTCTGCATAGCATGTAAACCTTACGATTTTGATAACTATTTTTATATTATGCGGATTCAGCATTTAAGATGGTACACCTAGAGAGAATGATTAACCGTAATAGTCCAAACCTTGTTTTCATTGCCACCACCGAGTGTCGGCCGATTATAATGCACTATATACTCAGCATCCACAATGCCAACATTCTTGACTCGATCACCCTGTCAGGACAAACTGAAGTAAATAATCTCTAACTTGAAGATGTTTAAGAAGGAAAGCAAGTTCAGACTACATCGATGGCTGAGTAGAGAAAGTTAAACTGACTTGAGCACAGTAACCAAGTTGCATGTCTAGGCCCCAAGCATAGATCAAATCATTCTGTTAAGAAAGTTAAGAATGCACACAGTGGTGAGTAACTCATCTGCCTCTGTAAAAGTTAGGCCTAACTGGGTCGCCCTATACCATCCATGAGTTTAAAATGTAGTGACTATAATTATCATTCTATTATACACATGTAGATGATCAAATGCAGCAGATTCCAACTTCATTATTCTGGTCCAAATCAGACGGTTTGTGTCCAATTCAAAGTCAGATGAAAACTCAAAACAGTAAAGATATCATCCTCCACATCCTGATGTCCTAGAAAAAGACGAAAACCAGACACAATAAAATGGAATTCTTGAATCATATACCATACACAGCGCCAGGCAGCTCTAGAGAAAACCGGAGCCATCAGCTCTATCCACCTATAACAGATTATATCCAATTAGTTTCTACAGAATACCACTAGACGATAAGCAGAAGGAAAAAAGAGTAAATTATCTTGAACATTAAAGACTGAAAAGGATAGCCTGCAAAAACAGACAATCCAGTGGATATAAAGTACACCCAACAGATACAATGCACTTTCAAAAGTATATGGTGTGGTGCACCTACCCAGTGCATGGAGGAGCTGTACTATTGGAACCACAACCTTTACCAGGACCACCAGGCTTAAAAGTCTTCCTGTTGACAAAAGAAGAAAGATAGTACTTCAATCCACAAATCAATACCGCTCTATAGTTGCTGACTTTCAACCAAATATTGTCATTCATTAAACAGATTGACATTTCCGCAGGTTGTCCTTTGATGAACACATTAACATTTCAGATGACGTTACGTGACCGATTGTAGCCATCCTTACAAATCTATGTTAACAGTCGAGTTATTCAAGTAAAAAAAAGCAATCACTGCATGGAAATCCCGCAGATAAAGTGCTAATGCAGGACAAAGAAAATTTGTTTTGAATGGTTGAATCACACCATAGTTGGTTCCATGGTTATGGCAATTTTCTTAGGTGAGATCCTGAGGAGGCACAACATTGCTAAAGACTGGCATGTCTGGCTGTTGGGTAATACATTCATTTTACCTCCCCTGGTTCCATGTTTCACGTTTGAGACCATCCATCACTAGACAGAGGTTCGCCCAATCCAAAAATAAGCAATGACTTAAAAACAATAATACATGTAGCGAGAGGCATTTATGAGATCAACCAAATTTTGAAGTCAAACTTTGGCAAAAGATAATAGGACATAAGATCACCTGTGTACAACCGATCTCCTCCCACGTGCAGTGATTTGATGATGCACCTCTGATTTGGTTGGATCAAGGGCTGGTTGCGATATCTCAAGCCCTTCGGTCTTGATAATAGAGATATACCTACATTTGGTGTTTTAGAGGAGGGAAGAGCTAGATATCTTGTCAAAGGCATTTTGAAGTTGGACCATACCATAATCATCATTTCAAGTATCGCACACAATCATCAAAACAATTAGGTATGACATTCAATCATTGCCAACAAGTTAACGAGAAGTTTGCAAGGAAACATGAAGCTGAGTACATCATTGCGCTGTTAATGTGCTGATCAAGAAACCAATTATCTAAATGAATATAGATTTAACAGATATTTGATGAAGCATCGCATATTAACAAAGTGGAACACTGATACTATCACGTCTTACACTCCTCATAAGCTAGCAAAGAAAATTGAATTGCTTATGAGGTGAAGCACACACACTTATCGGGGTGAAAATCTTCAACTCCTAGGTCTTCATCCCACAGAAAAATATATTTGTATTCTGCAACTATATCTGGATGCAGGAAACGTTTGGCAAACCACCTAGTCATGTAGAACAAGATTGAAGATCCATTAGGAGACTTGTGAATGATCATTACCGGGGTCGGAAGGAAAAGACCACTTGCCATTTAGTTTGGTTAAATGCAGATACATGTATGACGCAATCACTCCATTCTAAGTCCTTCCACTCATCAACAACACCATCATAGTGGAAAAGCATCACCATAAAATCATTTGACAGAAACTGCAAAGTGAAAATTGACACAGTTAGCCTGGAAAAAAGCTCGATAAAAATAGGCTAAGCAACAGCCAGAAAAGTCTCCTCACCTTTGTAACAATTTTATTCACAAGATCCTTTTGCTTGATTCCAACAGCCACGGCAAACAAGTTAGACGAAGAACTAAGAGAGCCCTGTCCAAAGATCAAGCAAGTTAATGCATGTTCAGAACTATGATGTTATATCTTCTACATTGAAAAAACTATTGTCATTTCAGGCTGTTTTTTTACCTCTGCAGAATCCCATAACGGCCTCATTTCCAAATCAGAAGAACTGGCAACAATACCTTCTGGTAAGGCCTCACTTCCACGTGGTCTGCATCGATTCTGAAATGAAAACACAAATAAGCTATTAAGCAACAAGTGAGACATCTGGCATGGCACAATTAAATTGAAAGTGATGAGGTTCAAAACTGCCATTCTCTAATAACAAGCACTGGATGGAAGGATGACATACCGCACAAGTGCTGGTGTTAGAGCTCTGTGATTTATCAATTATCCTCCAATCCCATCCTGAGAATTTCTGCAAAACATTTTCAATTTCATTCGCAACATCCAGCATATAAACTACCGGGACCGAGTAACAGTGAAAAAACATGATTATCTGTAGAACTAAGAAGAGTAGGTATACACCTCTCTGTAATCTGATGCCAACAGCGCACTCCCGATGAAGAGTCCTAGACAAAACAAAGATGCTGCAGGAAAGAAGTTCCAAAATTGTATCTCTGTTCTTGTCATTCTATGCTTCCAACAAGCATTTATCTAACCCTGAAAGCCATAGTTGGACTGCAGTCCCATTGTTGTAATACATTTTACATATTCCTGCAAGTGATAGTATCCAGTCCTTAGTCAAGTTATCAATCTTATACTAAAATTATAAAATTAACCTAGTCAAAAACCAATTATTGACTTCAACACAAAATGGCAATTTTCAGTGAAGTAATCTCTTATAAAGTTCATCCAGTTTCAATGAACTCTAAGCAAAGGTGTATAGTCATAAGTGAAAAAATATTGTACCATGGTTATTCAGAGATAGGTCCATTTAACTATGAACACCAAAGTAAAATGCATCTCTGGAAATCCTAAGGATAGGAAAACTCAATGATAGTTTGGCACTTGTTTATATGGCATTGTTGTGCATTTAAACCTAAACAACACTCGTAGACATAAACACTTACTAAACCTTAAAAAACCCTCAGGAAGTCTCTAAATAACACAAGAGTTACTAAGGCCATGTAGAGTTTGCTCCATTATGTTAATGCTAGACCAAAGAAACTTGAGATTTTTCAAGATTTCTTACTTGGTGGAGACCTGCTCTCTCTCTCTCTCTCTCTCTCTCTCTCTCTCTCTCTCACACACACACACACACACACACACACACTCACACAGATTATCTGAAACCTCTGTCCGTGGAAGCCTAACACATCGACGCACTTCCATGTCCCAAAAGAAAGACTCCAATCATAAGAACACAAATGAATTTACTTGGGAGTGATTTATTCATACTATCACAGAACAACTAATTGTTCTCCTGAAATCCTTATTTCTTTTGGGATGGAGAAAGATTAAGCGTTTCTCCTTTGACAGAGATGAAAGGAGGATGCAGTGGATTTTACAATGATGGTTTAAGTACATAAGTACTGCCTACTTTTGAGTAGTGGGTATCCAAATCAACAGCAGCCCTTTGTTCCAGAGTTTTAGCCCTAAAAACGCGGATTGCAATTGAGATGGTTCGCCGGTCAATCTACGCAAATCAAAAGATCATTGTTAGACCACTCAAATAGTGGATCAAGTGCAATATCAGGACTGGATTCAATTTTTTTTTTGTTTTAATTGACAATGCAATTGCATCATCAAAACTAATTTAATTCACATGGTAAATAGCACGAGTAGCTACTTAAAACAAGTATGGGAATTTCTTTGGGAAAGTAAAAATGAAACCAATTTCCTTGAGGAAAGTCAAAACAGCTTCCACTTCCCCCAATAACAATGTTTCATCATATGGTGAGGTCAAGATACAGAATATGAATGGATTCAAGTGAACAATAAGCAGTTTCACCATTAAAAGGCAAACTGTGAGAGGACCCTTTTTTGCCTAGATGAAAACACGGAATCATCTCAGGAAGACTGCAACTGTGATGCAAAAAGGCGCTCGCTAGATATTGATCTTTCTTACAATCTCTATTTCAAAAAATCATTGTTCCTGCACAATATCCAAGGTTAAGTCCTATGTCTCTGCATTGCTTCTCATTTTCACAAGGAAAAGGACTCCTGTAGCTAATCAACGAGAGATCTTTTGAAAAATAGCCATCTCTATGATTTTGTGCAGTAGCTATGGCTGGGATATTCAAGTGATGCAATGAGATCTTTTGAAGATTTTTCCATTTGAATGATTTTGTATGGTAGCTATGATTGGGACATTCGAGAGATGCAAACTATGAAAGCAACTTCTGCTACTACGCGCAAACATTAATAAGGAACATTCTTGACATGGATTAAAATCGGCAAGTAACCAACCAGTAAAAGTTCATAACGGCTCCTTTCTAAGCAGTATATTAGTAAAAAAAATCCATTTCCTCTTGCTCATGTGGTTAAAGCAAAGGATAGGAGCATGGAACATGCTCAGCATGCAATAAATGAACAACCTGTCTGTAAAGTACTGAATGGCGAACACCCACACAAACAAATAGTTCTTTTAATGATAAAAGAAACCGGGAAGAACATTCTTTCCCTTTTTAGTTTGCATGGAGAAAAAAGGAAGGACCATCGCATACTAAAATGAATGCAATACCTTTGGGAAACATTCATAACCTCCACCAGTCACATTGAGCAATCCTAAAGATAAAACTCTGTTGGGCACCATGGCAGCCAACTTGCAAGCGATCATAGCTCCTGTTTTGACAGCCAAAGAGGGCAGTTAGTCACCCTGAAACAAACAGGAACCCGATCTGGACTCACAGGCAGACATGTCATGGATGTGATTTTTAGTTCATTATTAAGTTTAAAAAATGGCCAGATAAATCCAGGCATCCAGAAATTGCAATCAGAATGGTTGTTTTAATTTCTCATATGAACCACAGAGCCAAATAAGCATCCATGAAATTTGGGTCATTCAAGACTCACTCATTGAATGGCCAATGACATGGGCTCTTTTCCATCCCAGGTGATCGAGTACAGCAATCGCATCTTTCGCCATAATCTTTGTCCTGCTCCAGAAATCACATCGAAAGTCAAAGTCAATTTTCGTTAAAATGTTTTCGGAACAGCACCAAATTATCATCAAACTAAAAGACTAAGAAAGCCATCCAATGTCCACGATTAGTCCAAGGAAAGCTGAAGCTGCATTTCAGCTTTGCACCAACTGGCAACCATTCTCCTGTGAATAGGCTCCCGATTCAAGAAACTCCACGAAGCAGCACACACTCAAACGAACTAGAAAGCTCACCGTATGCATCGATCGGACTCACGTGTACTCTGACTTGTCAGCGGGCACGGAACTCCGGCCCGCGCCACGATTGTTGAACGCGCACACCTCGACCCCACCATCACCACCACCAGCGCCAGCTCCTCCGCCGAGGGCTCGCCAAAGGGGCTTCGGGAGGCGACGGCGGGGGCACGGTTCGTCACAGAGAGCCGAGCAAAGCCGTTTCTCGGGACAAAGAGAGAGGGGCAGAGGACGAATCGCCAAATGGGGGGCTTCGGAGGCGACGGCGTAGGCGGAGGCGGTCGCGTGGTCGAGATCTGAGCCACCAATCTTCACTTTAGGGCAAAAACGACGGGAAGCTCAAGTCATACAAAACCCTATCCTGAGAATGGGGCTTCGGGAGGTAACGCAGAGGGCGAGTCGAAGCCCGAGATCTCCAAAGGGGCTGCGGGAGGCGACCGCGGAGGCGCGGTTCGTCACAGAGAGCAGAGCGGAGCCATTTCTTGGGATAGAGAGAAAGTGGCAGAGGACGAATCGCCAATGGAGGGCTTCGGAGGAGACGGCGACGGCGTAGGCGGAGGCGGCCGCGTGGTCAGGATCTAAGCCACCGATGGGCTCCGGGAGGCGACGATGGAGGAAACCGGCGGAGGCGGAGGCGCGGTCCACAAAAAGAGCCGCGCTTCGCGGAGGAAAGAGAGAGAGAGCAAATGGGTTTTCTAGAAGGGGACGGCGGAGGCAACCGGCGTAGGCGCGGCGGGTTCACGACCAAAGGATGCGAAGTCGGGGAGGAAGGAAGAGGAAGTCGGGGAGGAAGGAAGAGGAAGACGCGAGCGCGAGGAATTTTGAGCGGGAGGAGTAAAGGAGAGAAACCAGGAGGTGAAAAGTGAATATTTGAGCACTAACGGAGGAGAGTTAACGGAGGTCGGGAGAGAGAAGGGAAAGAGTGAGATTTTTTAATAAATCTGATCTGTGGGCCCGCTTGTCACGTGTCACGCGATCAATGGAGTTGTGTATTGCTGACGTGGAGTATTCCACTCACGCAATATTTTCTCCTCTGCATCAGCAGCGGATAACATTGGCTGTTTATCCTTAATGAAGGGAGACATTTGCACCAGGACTGCAAATAAAGACATTCTCAATGACCCTGTCAACTGAAGGAGTAACCCCTTCATGGAAAGTAGCATTTCTCTCCTTCCAAAGGAAGTGAAATGACACTGTTCCAAGGCAACTTCAGCAGCACCTTTTAGAAAGGTTTTCTTTTCGAGTTTTGCATAGCCCATGTAGGCTCAGAGTTCTCCAATAGGTGTCTGAATATTACTCAGCTGAAGGGACACTCAAAAGAGATGTGTCCTTGATTCTGCTCCTGCACCAAAAAGTGTTCCTTTCCTTTTAGCGGTATAAAAATCCTCAGATTATGAGGGACAGGCTCATTTTCTTCATAAAACATAATATTCAGTGTATTCACAGTTCAACAATTCTGGCAGTGATTGGGAGAAATGATATTAGACCCTTTACAAATTCAAGTATACAGAGAATAGATAATATTGACACAATGCGATGCAGACTGCCATGTCAAATTCTAGGCACAATTAATCTGAATAATTTATACACAGATACTAACTTTTCATGTGCACGAACATATGCTGATGCAAAAGAATATCAGGACAAACTTCTTATTTATAGAATATAAACGGCGAAACAGCCTAAAGATACAAAAGATTTGATCTTTCAGTATGCATAGCCAAAGATTTTTCCTATGACTGCTGTGATGACATGGTCTCTCGACATTATCCCAGCGTTGCAGGAACTAGGAACAGTTTTGTAGCTTTACATGTACAATCTCCATGGATAATCCTCTTCAGTTTGCAAAGAGAGGTGATCTAGTCAGGATCCTGGAGAACCCTCAAAACCAACCCTGTCGAGCCACGACACGACCTGCTCAATTGAGGGTCTCCTCCTGGGATCCCGGTCAGTGCAATTACACGCCACACTGAGCACTTCCAGTACCTGCTTCTCATGATCCTTGACCCATATCGACAGTTCAACAATTCCGGCAGTGATCGGGAGAAATGATATTAGACCCTTTACAAATTCAAGTATACAGAGAATAGATAATATTGACACAATGCGATGCAGACTGCCATGTCAAATTCTAGGCACAATTAATCTGAATAATTTATACACAGATACTAACTTTTCATGTGCACGAACATATGCTGATGCAAAAGAATATCGGGACAAACTTCTTATTTATAGAATATAAACGGCGAAACAGCCTAAAGATACAAAAGATTTGATCTTTCAGTATGCATAGCCAAAGATTTTTCCTATGACTGCTGTGATGACATGGTCTCTCGACATTATCCCAGCGTTGCAGGAACTAGGAACAGTTTTGTAGCTTTACATGTACAATCTCCATGGATAATCCTCTTCAGTTTGCAAAGAGAGGTGATCTAGTCAGGATCCTGGAGAACCCTCAAAACCAGCCCTGTCGAGCCACGACACGACCTGCTCAATTGAGGGTCTCCTCCTGGGATCCCGGTCAGTGCAATTACACGCCACACTGAGCACTTCCAGTACCTGCTTCTCATGATCCTTGACCCATATCGACGGGTCAATGATCTCTTCCTCCCTCTTCTCAGACTTCATCTGAAACACCCAAGAAACCAGATCCCTACAATTCTTGCCTTTGATAACTTCCACAGGCCTCCTACTGGTAAGAAGCTCGAGAAGAACGACGCCAAAACTATAAACATCGCCTCTGAAGGTGGCTGTCAATGTCTGGCTATACTCTGGAGGAATATACCCTAAAGTTCCAACCAAATCTGTAGTCACATGAGTATCATAGGGACGAAGCAGCCGCGAGAGGCCAAAATCAGCTAAATGAGCCTCGAACTTCTCATCCAATAGTATGTTGCTGGATTTCACATCTCGATGGACAATATTTGGTTCGCAAACCTTGTGCAGGTATGCCAATCCCCGCGCAGCTCCTTGAGCTATCTTGAGCCTGATATCCCATGCAAGAACAGAGCCTCCATCATTACACTCGTGCAGCCAGTAATCTAGACTTCCATTCTCCATGTATGAATATATCAGCAACCTGTCGTTACCATGGCGACAATAACCTTGGAGAGAAACAAGGTTCTTATGCTGAGCTCTTGATAAAGCCTCCACTTCGGCCTGAAATTCGCGTTCGACCTGACCGCAATCCCCAGAAAGCCTCTTGATTGCAGCTTTTGTGCCGTTCGGGAGGTTCGCTTTGTAAACTAAACCGAATCCACCACAACCAATAATGTTCGCTTGGCTAAAATTGCTCGTTGACTTTAATAAGTCCACAACTGTAAGATCTTTGCAGTCTGAAATTGGAAAAAGCACCAATTTGGAAGATTCAAGAGCTTCAGATAACCTATGAGGCCTGCCTAGTTCCTCATGTAAGTCATCTATATGATCGCTAACGTCCCTCCTCAAGATCTTTAGTAAAATGGCAACCAGCAGTAGTGAAACCCCTATCGCGACACTGATTGTTACGACAAGAATGCTGCTTCTACGGCTGAACTTATTCTGGGGCCCGGATGTAATATTAGGCCTCATCCCCATATTATCAGTTACATCACATGTAGAATCTATTTCGTCGCAAAGCCCAGGGTTCCCTTCAAAACTAGAGCTTGGAAAGCTCCCAAATTGTCCCCCAGTAGGAACTCGACCTGTTAAGTGATTATTGGCCACACTAAACTTTGAGAGGAATGTGAGCTCCTTGAGTGAATCCGGGATGGATCCATAGAGATTGTTATTGGATAAGTCCAGTACTTCTACATTCTCCATACCTGAGATGGAAGAAGGAATCGTTCCAGTAATGTTATTCCTGCTCAAATCCAAGACATGAAGCTGCTTCAACTGACCAATTTCAGGCCATATAGTCCCGTTCAGTCTGTTGTTGCTCAATAATATCGAGGGAGGAAAGCTCGAGACCTGGTTGTATTGTAAGCCATTTGCACTCCGGTTTCTCTTGACATATAGAGGGATTCCGGCAGAAGCAGTGAGACTTGGCGAGGCACAGTTCGAAGAAACGAGGCACTTTAACTCTGTTAAACTCTTGGGGATCTCCCCACAGAGAGAGTTGTTTGACAGATCCAAATAAAACAAGTTCTCCATCTTCCCCATCCAAAAAGGGATGCTTCCATCCAAATAATTCCACGACAAATCAAGAACTTGTAACTTTGGGCAACTCAATACCCACACAGGGACTTGACCTCTGAGAGCGCAATTTCCAAGAGCTAAAACCATCAGACTATTGAAACCCGTCACATTACCAGGAATTTCCTCCCCACGGAAGTTCTTTGTGAGGATAAGAGTGCTCAGATTTTTGCACTGCTGAAGCACGGACAAAGCACCGGATAAGTTAACAATGCTGTTGTTTGACAATGAGAGGAACAAGAGGGATGTGAGCTTCCCATAACTTACGGGGATGTCTCCACTGAAACCATTCTTGGCAAGGCTTAAAATTTTCAGCTCACGGCAACTGGACAAGGAATCTGGAAGAGGGCCAGAGAAATGATTGGAGGCTAGGTCAACTGTACAGAGACGGGACAACCTGGTGAAGTTTAGATCAATTCGGCCAGTAAGAGAATTGTTCCGGAGATCAAGCACTTGAAGGTTTGGACAGAGAGACAGGCTCGGGGGAAGTGGCCCTGAGAATGAATTTGAATGCGCAGTTAACTGTTCTAACTGCTTAAGGTTCCCAAAAACGTTAGGAAAAGGGCCCGAAAACAGATTTCCACATACAATCAAGGCTTTGAGGCTAGAAAGATTACTTAAGCTCACACTCAATGAGCCAGAGAAGTTGTTCCCAGATATGGAGAGTTGCACCAGAGACGACATACTATACAAAGATTCTGGGAGATGGCCAGAAAGGGAATTAGTATCCAGATGTAGTTGCTGAAGAGACAGCCCGCACTTCTCCAAGCCATCGAGACCCCCCACCAAATGGTTCATCGATAAATCAAGGGCACGGATACTGTTAGATGAACCGCACACTTGATAATTGAAGCTTCCGGAGAAAGAATTGTTGCTAATATTGAACACAAGAAGATTAGGATAATTCCCAAGCTCGAGCAAATCCCCATCGAACTGATTGCTGGAAATATTCAAAGATTGGATGGATGTAAGACCAGATAATGCTCCCCAAGCTGGTCCTGACAACATATTATGGCTCAAATCAAGAAACTTCAACTTCTTCAAGAGCGACAATTCAGCAGGCAAATCACCTTCGAGATAATTGTGCGAGAGATCAAGCAATCTCAGCTCACTCAAATGGCCCAAGGAGCGAGAAACAAAGCCTTTGAGGCCTCGGTCCGGCAGAATCAACTTTGTAACTCTGAAGGAAGCTGATGAGTTACTTAAATAATCGCAGAAAACACCATCCCACTCACAGCAAACAAGATCATTGGACCAAGCAGCGATAATTAACCCGCCAGTGAGGTTACCGGCGAATTCCTTCAATGCCAAATGATCATTTGGATCACAAGATTGTGCTGGGGTCTTCAGACACAGAAATGAACACAAACAGAAGGCCAGGAAGACCCATTTCTGGAAACTCCCTGGAAAAAACTTCAGCACCATTATTATTGAATCTTGATCTTCAGCTCAAATCAAGGCCAACACTCCCATCAACTCTTATGGAGAAACTTGCACATCCACGTGCCGAATAGCATCTCACAGACAAAACGAAACAGCGAGAGCATCACCTGCTTCCGCCAATGCTCATCCGAAAACGAATCCTCAGACTTCGAACCAAGGAAAGAAGCAAAAAGCGACTGAGCTCAACTGGGCATGTGTAAAAAGCTCAAATGTCACTCCATGGAAAAACAAACTCACCGGACTCGCTCTTTTTCTCTTTTGGGTGCTCAGCAAGTGCCTCAGGAGCCCAAGAAGCAATGGCACTGAATGCAAATTAGCACACCGGAAGCAAGCTAAAACCTCTCTTCGGAACGCAGTTAAAATAATAAAACCCTGTGGAAGAAAGCTCGCCCCAACTCGCGCATCCCAAAACACAAAGACCCACGGGACAGAAAACCCACCCGCGCCAAAGAACACGGCGCTTGCAAACGAAGCAACAAGCCAGCAACAACGATCAAACGGCGCTCCACTCGATATCAGATCCCAAGATCAGTTGACGGGTGGTCAAAAAAGAAATGAATCTTGAAGCAGCAAAACCAAAGAGAGCGTGAGAAAGAGAGAGACAGAGAGTTGAGGAAGCACGCATAAAGAAGTGAGAAATCTTACCGGCGAAGAGGGACCGCCATCAGAGGGTCCTTTGAGATTTGCTACCGCAGCTACCGTCACTTGCGAGTGAAGCAAGAGTTCCCTCAGAACCCAACAACGACAGTAAGCGAATTCTCTTCCTTCTTTTCCTCTCTCTCTTTTCTCCGTTTCTATTCGTGGGTCCTAATTCCCTGGTCGCCAATTCAAACAGGGACGTCGCTCTCGCCGCAGCATTTTCTCCCTCTTTTCAAACGAACACTCGCGAGGAAAAAGAAGGGATAGGGGTGGCGGACGTATAAAGAAAAGGGAAAAGGGGAAGGGGGGAAGGGGAAAGCAAAGCCGATGGCGGTTCAAAATCAGAGCGAGGACAAAGAACGGAGACGGGGTTGGTCGCAAGTGCAAGCACAGATAAGGAAAGCTCTCCCTAGCTGAGAACCAAATATTTAACCGGACTAAAAGCAACGAGGACTATAGCTTCGTGAGCTCGTTCTTCTTTCTTCTAGCTCGAATCATCGCGTTTGCATATCCCTTTAGGTCGGCTTCGAGAGCATATATAAACACACGCGCATGTGTGCGGCGCAAGAACCGCCCTCGAATTCTTTCGATTCCATAGGAATCGGAAAAATTAAAGAGATAATGACACAAATAGTCCCCGAACTCTGACCTAACGTGCAACGTGCTCTTTAAATTTTTAATTTATTTAATGTGGTCACTAAACTTTTGATGCGCGTTCAAGTTAGTCCCTAAACTATACGAAAATATTCAATGTTGTCCTAGAATAAACATTAGACATTTTCATACGATCCATGGACTAAATTGAATATATACCAAAAGTTTAAGGATCACGGTAAATAAATTAAATGTTTAGGGATCATATTACATGTTGAGCTAAAGTTCAGGGACCACATTGCATTATCATATTAAAAGTTCATGAACTACGCTGCGCTCAGCCAAAATTTGGGGATTATACATGTCATTTTCCCAGAAATAAAGTAGGCACTGAGATTCTAAGCGACGAAGTTTGAAATGGAGACGCAAGAGCTGACTTTTCTTTGGACCCATTTCCATGCTAAAATTCTAATTTTTCCTTCTTGGCTTCACACACGCATACCCCCTGGGGGCTGGTCTGATTGTCAATACCTACATTTGTCTTCATGTCTTCGTCGCTTTGTGGGGAAAAAGAGTTGATGTGATTAGTGTGAGAAAGTGGTGGGGTTTTGAGAGGAGATTATGGAGGAGGGTTTTCGGGACAAATGGCCTTTGGTTGGTGCGGTCTAACTAGCCAGCGCTCTCTGCAAGTAGAGAGAGAGAGAGCAGAGGCTTGGCTCGTCCACGTTTCATTCACGCGCGTGTGGAGACAAAATCAACGAGGCCGGAGGGGTTTGTGTTATAGTTCATGATGGCTTCGTTACATGGTCGCCATGTGTAAAGTTCCAGTACTACCCTAAAATAATCTCAAACTTTAAGTGCAATTTTAATTCTACTTGGAACTTTTTTTTTATAAAAAAAAACCGTCATTTTTAAATTCAATCTCAATTCTATCTCGAGATCTTTTCTGTCTAAAAGAAAATGATATGGCATATCAGAAAACTAAGGGCTACTTGGATGGTAAATTTATGACTCGAGTGAAACTTGATGGTTTTTTTTTTTTTAACTCGGGGTGAAATTGGGACTGAATCTAAAGTTGGTGGTTTTTTTAGACAAAAAGAAGTTCGGGATAGAATTGGGACTACACTTAAAGTTGAGATTTTCATTAAATAAAAAAAGAGAGTTCGGGCTAAAATTGAGGCTGAATTTAAAGTTTGGGGTTTTTTAGGGTATTAGCCTATGTGTAAAGATGGCTTTCTTTGGTCATCTTAAACGACTAATCTAAAATGGATCTAGGTCCAAACAAATCTGATCAATCATAGACTGTTGATTATCATAAATCTTATACGAGTCTAAAAAAATTGTAATAATTGTGATTTCATCCTTTAACCAATCCGAAATAAAACAAATATCGAGGCATGCATGAATGCACAAATGGACAAATGGGCTCGGAGTCGATGAATGGTTTGATTTTTTTACAAAAAAAAAAAAGAAAAATTAAACCCAAATGCCCTTTGCAAAAACAAAAAAAAAAGATTTGCTAAACATTATTTAAACCAAAGTAGCTTTACAAGGGATTTTTATCAAACGCAATTTACATTTCCCCAATGAATTTTAAGCTAAAGGCATTTGCATTTTTCAAGGTCCATTTACAAAGCCGAACCAAACGCAGCCGTAGGACAACTCAAGCTCGAAAAGAAAACGTCATGTCAAGTCATCGATATCAGTGTCGGAAGATCATCGTCCGACGATCCGCGACCTTATGGATAGTGCCAAATATCAATCAATAGGCCACATGGAGAATCGCTCCCCCGATCCAAGCAGCTGGCAATTTCTCATGATGAAACACACACACACACACACACACACGAAATCGATTCACAAAATAAAAGACCACGCACACCTTGAACGTGGGATGCGAGCAATGAGTGCTATCTGCACCCCCATCATGCAGGTGCGTGCTACTTGTGCATGCGCCCAAGTTGCTTTGCTCGAGTGGCGCGTGCCGCGGACGCGCGCCCGCGCCGAGAGTGGTGGAACAGGAACCTAGGAAGCGGGAAGAAAACGAGGGGGAGGGCAAGTCAAAGAGGTGACAGGAGATTTGTTGACCGGGAGCAGCCGGTGGGACAGGAAAAATCGGACGGCGGTGAGCGGACGTCACGGGGGGAAAGGGGGGGCAGCCGGGGCTACCCGCGGCCGTGATCTAAGCAAATGTGTTTGACAGTCCCCCCCCCCCCCCCCCAGCCACTCCGTTGTCGGGTCAACCACTCGTTACCTAATTCCCCGTGATCCCTCACCTAAACCCAACTCTTCGTTCCTTCGCTGCTCACAACAATCTCATGAAAAAGAAAAAGAAAAAGAAGGAGGAAATCTCAAACAAGGAATGTGAATTCCTCAGATTTATGTGCACAAATTGATGGAATTGGAGGTTGGGGGGAAAAGGGTTTTGTGGATAATCGGTTAAAATTTTATTTTTTGGTAGTTTTCGATGCATGGACTATTTTGGTGTTGTGCGAAAATTATTTTTTGAAAATCGATTTATTACCAATTTAAGTGGAAAATTATCAAAAAAGTTGTAAATTTATCGTACGGATGCCAATTTAGTCCTAAATTTTTTTGACGATTTGCCAATATAATGCTTTTTAGCCAATTTGTGGGAAGTCGCTGACATGGACGTGGGGTATCCCACTTGCAACTGCCGGTGCTGACATGACTGGTTGCAATTTTTTTAAAAAAAAATCTGAATTTTTTTCTTTCTCTTTAGTTTTTTCTCTTTTTTCTTTTTTCTTCTTTCTTTCTCCGCCGATCGTTGAGGTTTGGCAATAGCCAACAACCTTCGTTGGCTACAGTTGAGGGTCGACGAGAGCGACCCTTGCCAGAGGCTCGGTGATCGGCTGAGGAAGAAGGAAAAAAAAGAATTTTAAAAAAAATTGCAAAAATCATCCACGTAAGCCCCGATTGTGCCATGTAAGACGACCAATGCTGACTAGACTGCTATGTTAGCTATTTATGTCCAAAATTGGCTGAAAGTATTGCATTAGCAAATTGTCAAAAGGTTTAAGATTAAATTAGTCATAATAAAAAAGTTTAGAATTGAAACCAATGCCACCGGGTAAGCCCCCAAGATGTGATCGGCGGGAGTTGAACCTGGGACCTCATCAGTTTAACTGTCTGAGGCCAGGAACTCTCAACCACTCGACCAATCACCCCATTGGTAAAATGAATTGATATTCGTACAATTGATTTTGAACTTTTTAAATTTCCCCCCAATTAAGTATGCTTTAAAAGTGTATAAGAAGCCTTCAATAACACGGCTTTTGAGCAAAATAAATCAAGTGATATATACGTCGAAATGATGTCATTTCTTCAGCTGAGTGTCCCGATTCATGTTTGTTACTTACGAGTTACGATTAAGCGACGCAATGTCAACGGAACTCTTTATCCTGTCTTTTCGTCTCATTTTTCCGTATGCACACAAACATCGAGCATAGAATTGGGTGATGCACGCATTGAATTGCAGGCTGCAATCACGATCATTAGTTGCAACGAAGATTGTGCCAATTACCTAATCTGTTGAAGCTTGAAGATTGTGCTTCAGAATTGTCAATTTAGCTAGCAGCCATTAGACCAACCCTTACGACTTTTTAGGTTTAGATGCTATCGGTGGATATTAGAGAATTATATACACCCTAGTAAGTAGAAAAGATTCTCAATTTGTATCATTTTCCACTTTGTGGAATTTTGAATCCAGAATCTCATTGGTAAAGGAGAGAAATGGCATCCGAGGTCTATTAAAATCCCTTTACTTAAACCATGCGCCATTTGTCATCGTACGGATCGTAGGGTCACTTATGGAGCAACTTCCTCCTCTTACCTTTTTTCTCCCTTTTGACTTTTTCAATTTTATTAGTACTGTTAAGTACCTGTACGACATCACAAAGTTTCATCCATCCGATTTATTTCGTTCTTAAATGATCATATCTTATGTAGTCACTCAAAATACTCTTTCAAGGATCCGATTCACATGGAACGGGCCAGTTCGTTCGAATTTAAGATGACCAACAAAGTTAAATGAACCATTAAGTGCGACTTTACTGTTTTGCGCACTAAATTACTATGTTAGAACATGATTTCCTAACATTGCATCCCTCTGTTTTGTCGGATCATGTCACTAATGGAGATATGATTACATATCGAAAAGATAATTTTTTACTAGCAAAGGAATTATGATGGGGGATGTCTCCTCCCTTTTATTTATGGTTTGCGACTTGCATGTTTATGGTGAAAAGCAAATCCAAAGGGAGGGGGTGGTAGATTTGACAAAGGTGGAACGATTGTAATTTGGCATGGCATTCACCACGCAATGGTTTCACTTTAAGCCACCATTGTTGAAAAAGACTCATGATTCAAAACCAAACTTGTGCACTAAGGTTCCATAGACACCAAAGGAGATTTCACCCTTCAATTCTTGATGGGAGCTCCTTCACGTAAAGCCCACCATAAATGATAAGACTTCTCTTGCTTTTTCTTGCCTTTATCTTTTTAGGGTTCTGTCCAAAGTTGCAACCTCTCTCTCTCTCTCTCTCTCGTAAGTCAGCTTTTGATGGAAAAGAAAAGATGATATACTTCATCTCCTCAACACGTTTGTTATCATGCATGGTGGACTATGGGGGTGAAGTATGAGTGGGTTTCTAGCCTTTGTTCGAATCAGCCCTCGCTTTCGAGGGACATGCTTAGACATGCTCTCTCTCTTTTTAGCACTTTGACCCTCTAACTTCGTTCATTCCTTTTGGAGTTCCAATCAATCTTTTCTCACTAGAGTCACCTAACGACATAGATAAGTGCGGCCCGACTCGATGAGGGGCGGTCAAAGCAACGGGACGAGTCAATAAAGTAATATGATGATAACCCATGCACTCGCATGTCGCGCAC